GAGCAGCCAACTCCTTTTGGCCATATTCTACCGGACACTGAACACCTGGTTCGCATTACAGCTCTTCCAGATGACAACTATGGCAGCCATGAAAATTCCATTTTCTTCCTTTTTAAAAAAAAAAAAAAAAAAGTTGAGATCTGGGCCAGGCACGGTGGCTCACGTCTGTAATCCCAGCACTTTGGGAGGCCAAGGTCGGTGGATCACTTGAGGTCAGGAATTCGAGACCAGCCTGGCCAACATGGTGAAATCCCACCTCTACTAAAAATACAAAAATTAGCCGGGTGTGGTGGTGGCAGGTGCCTATAATCCCAGCTACTCGGGAGGCTGAGGCAGGAGAATCACTTGAAGCCAGGAGGCGGAGATTGCAGTGAGCCGAGATCGTGCCACTGAACTCCAGCCTAGCAACAGAGCGAGACTCCATCTCAAAAAAAGAGAGTTGAGATCTGGCTTTGTCACCCAGGCTGGAGAGCAGTGAGCCACGATTGTGCCTCATTCCTACACTCAAGCAATCCTCTCGCCTCAGCCTCCCAATGAAATGCACCTCTTAAATCTACAATTGCAGGAAATGTAGTTGAATGATGATCCTAGCCATCATATTTGAGCCAAGGCCATCCTTCCGATGGGCTGCTCCAGGCAATAATGAAGTGTTACATCCCAGCATAATCTGGCTGAGGGAGAGGTGGGCCTAATAAGGAAAGAAAAAGACTATACACACTAAAATAGCAAAAGGAATTAGGTAGGAATTGGCTCCTGAAGTAGGAGCTAGGGGAGTACCCCTGGGATTGGATGAGAGTGCTTGACCAAGAGACCTGGAATATAAAACTGGATAAGCAAGAATTCATCAACTTCAGGCACTTTCTCAGGACACAGACTTAACACTCTGGCAAGGACCCTAGGAGATGGGGCTAACTTGCTGCTATGGTGAGACCTGGAACAGGTGACACCAAACCCTGAGTGAAGTGGCAAACCACGCTGACAGAAGTGGGACGGCAGAAGGGGTACAAAATGAGTCAGAAGACTCACCGGAGGATTCTGTTCCACGGGAGGGCGCAGACGCACTGCTCACCAAGGGCATGAGGCTGGTGAGAAAGGCACTGGTGTCACTAAGTCTGTGACGGTGTCTTATGCAGGCCAGGGTTGCCTAGATTAGGTAATTGTAGACCTGGGTTTGTTAAATCCATAGAATGATTTGCTAGCCAGTCTCCCATACCCAGGTAACAGAGGCCAAGCAGAGTTGTTTGAGCACAGAAGTTAAGAGGCCTCATATAATGAGCAGACAGATTGAAGAGGGAGTCAAGGGGAAAGGTGGAGATGGTTAACAGAACATAGCATGCTTAGGAGCAAAACAGATGGGCAGCCAACAGAGGTGCTGCCTAACATCTACAACCAAAAAAGGGCAAGGATGGGGAAGTGGAGGCTGCAGATGGTCACCCCAATAAAAAGTCATAATCCATGCTTAGCTCCTAAGCCTGAGTCAATAATCTGACCAACATAGGTCTTACTTTTAAATCATCTTTTAGTTCTTCTTTGTAATTAGTTTAAGTTCTCCATAATTCCACTTAGGTTGGACCTTCAAAAGACATAGACCTCTAAATAACCTTTCCATTTGTATGAAAATGCCATTATCTCCTTCCAGCTCCCATACCCTGAAGACCCTAGAAGGCTCTAACTTAATATTAATAGAAGGATTATTTGGTAGCCTATATGTCAGTAATATTTTTCACTAATCCTTCTCACAGTTGCCCGTTTTTGTGATATTCCAAAAGGCAGAAAGTATTTGCAGGAAGTTGCTATTTATAGAATATGAACTGTATGGATCAAAGTTAAATGATTTTTTAAATGATCTATTTCAAGAGAAACACCAGATTTGAAATTGATCTTCAGGAAGCAAAGGGCTGAAAGTTAAAAAAATTGAAGAGAAAAGAATGTGTCTACACTAAAGTTCAAGTACATGACAACCAGAGAATTTTACACAGGTTTCAACTTTTTATAGAACAATTTTTTTGTTTGTTTGTTTGAGACAGAGTCTTGCTCTGTCACCCAGGCTGGAGTTTAGTGGTGCGATCTCGGCTCATTGCAACCTCTGCCTCCCGGGTTCAAGTGATCCTCCTCCCTCAGCCTCTCAAGTAGCTGGGATTACAAGTGTGCACCACCACACCCAGCTAATTTTTCTATTTTTAGTAGAGACAGGATTTCACCATGTTGGCCAGGCTGGTCTCAAACTCCTGACCTCAAGTGATCCACCTGCTTCAGCCTCCCAAAGTGCTGGGATTACAGGCGTGAGCCATTGCACCCAGCCTTATAGAACAATTTTAAAGCATATACAAACATACATTTAAATAGTTTGATCTCTGAAACTATTACAGAACATTTAGCAATATGACATTTACCCCTAGATGTTGACTTTTATGGAGCTTTGATTTTCTAAATGTGTTTATATGTATTCACTATTAAATATATTTAAATATATACAAACACATACTTGTATTCATCAAATTTGTGCTTTTTTATGTGCTTTTTTCCCACTCATTTATTTAGAAAAGTTCTTTAAAAGGTAGTTATACCCAAAGCTGTTTATCAGTATAATTTAATTAGAGTAAATTGTGTTGGTATACAAATACAGAAAAATATTTACAGAGCTTAATAGCTCAGTGGCCACTATTGGTAAATAAGTATTCTAAATATCTGTAATTCTCAAAGGTTGTGTCATGTCCCTAAAAAAGGGTAAAAATAAAATAAAACTTTAGGACCTAAGCACCCACTGTGGCTAATTGCCCAAACCAGTGGAGATATTATCCTAGAGAGCCACCTGCAGTGCAAGCAAACTCAAGTATGTGCTACATGCCCACCAAGTAACAGTTGATTCCTCGGTTATTAAATTTAATCCTCATAAAAACACTTTCATATTATTACACTCCTTTTGCAGATGTGAAACCAAGCTTTGAAGGATTAAGTGGCTCATGGAAGGCCACATGGCTCTAAGTTGTAACTGTGGAGTTTGAACTCAGATCTTCTAGTATTAGATGTGGTATTTGGTCTACTTTGGCACAGAAGCCCATAGGTCAGGAGTTGGCAAACTTTTTCTGCAAATGCCAGATGGTAAATATCTTGAGCTTTCCAAGCCATAGGTTCTTTGTTGCAACTACTGAACTCTGCCGTGTAGTCAGTAGTTCTATATCAACCATAGATAATATACAAATAAATGAGTTTAGCTGTGTTTCAGTGAAACTTTATTTATATGCACATGTGGTGGGCAGGATTTGGCCAGGGGCCATGATTTGCTAACTCCCGATAGCAATTAAAACATACAAACAAACCATAAAGGGACTAGACTCTAGAGATCCTCCTTTTCTGACCTTCGGAGGTATTTTTCATTATTGCTCCACTTACTATCCTGAGCATGTGATGATGATGATTTCGCTGTAAATTCATCCTCTAGTTCTTACCTCTTCCACGGTGCCAGCTTGCTTCTCCCTAACACTAGTTCCAGCTTTGTGCAGATACACTTTAAGGCAGTAATCAGTATCTTTTTTTAATGTGAGTACCAATTCAGGAAAAACAAGCTTTTTCTCTTACTCTTGGTAAAAACAGCTTTATTGAACCCCAAAAGGTAGAAACAATGTGTTCTTACAACTTAGATTCCTTACCGAACATTTCCAAATGCTTAAAAACATTGCTACTGCGGCCGGGCGTGGTGGCTCAAGCCTGTAATCCCAGCACTTTGGGAGGCCGAGACGGGTGGATCACGAGATCAGGAGATCGAGACCATCCTGGCTAACACGGTGAAACCCCATCTCTACTAAAAAATACAAAAAACTAGCCGGGCGAAGTGGCGGGCGCCTGTAGTCCCAGCTACTCGGGAGGCTGAGGCAGGAGAATGGCGTGAACCCGGGAGGTGGAGCTTGCAGTGAGCTGACATCCGGCCACTGCACTCCAGCCTGGGAGACAGAGCGAGACTCCGTCTCAAAAAAAACAAAAAACAAAAAAAAACATTGCTACTGCTTTTTGGTCACCAAGGTGCTAATATATGTGCAGCAGAATCATCTTTCTAATCTTCCATTCCTTAACTTTATATGATGCTTTAGGATTCAAAACATGTATTCTTGTACCTTCTTTCATTTATCTTTGAAGCAAACTTTGAACCATTTATTATTATGGAGAAACTAATACTCAACAGGGGTTAAGTGACTCACCACGGTCACAATTCCTTCTCTCCAACTTAATATTGAACAAGCAGGTACTGTGCTAGGTGCAAAATAAACAGATAAAATTCCACTTCCTTCCCTGTCTCTCTTATCCCCTTTGCCATCCCCAGACTTCACCAAAATCTTTGTGCCTAGAAAAGCAATTCTGAAAAGATTCTTCTCCTGGCCAGGTAGCTTGCTCCCCCTTAAAGTCTCTGTTGTTGAACCAAATGCTGCATTTGAAACGAGATCAGAGACCTTTCTGGAAAGTCAAACGGAGCATGAAGCGCTCTTATCTCAGCTGCTCATCCACTGCCTTATGCGATCCTTCTCTTCACAGACTCATCTCCACTATTACACATGACTTGTTTTTAAAATTCTTAGACTCTCTGGTCAACGTAAAGTTCATTCTTAATATTTTATTCAGTTTACCATTTGTTCTAAACGTTAGTTTTATTTCCCCAAATAAATAAAAATTCCTTACTGCCTCTGTCAGTAGCCTTTCTGCATACAGTGAGCCCCGTGCATCTACTGACCTGTCTTCAGCTGATTTTACAGGGAGGATCATTTCCACAGTGGGTTCTTTATTTGATCAGTTGTGTTACTTGTTCATAGTCATTTCTTCAAGATCTGCTCTTAACTCTTTCAGATTTTATTGGTTGGCTAATATGAATAGTTACCCTAGTATTTCCACTGAGCACATTCAGTAGTTCAGGGCATTTTTTTTTAGTTTCAGGTAAGGATTGTTTTTAATTACAAGGAGCAGCTGTCACACAGTGAGCCGGCTGAATGAAACTTTTTCACCCTACTCACCTCTGCAATCAGATCATGCAGCTCTCCTTCAGTAGGGCAGCATCCTAATGACCTGATAATTGTTCCAATCTCTCTGGGAAAAAAAAAAAAAAGTTTTCAATGGTTTTAGAATATAAACTCTGAAAAGGCTATGTTCCTCCAAATTGTCTCAGAGCATATTTTGTAACATAGGAAACCAAATCACTCCAATATTGCCTCATGATTATAAAAGATGTTTTCTGGGGAAAGAAAAAGGAGGCTAAGTGAACCAAAGAAATATGAAAGAAATGGCTTCACTGACTGGCAAACACCTTGCCTGAGCCAATATAAAAAAGTTCTAGAAAGAAAAAGAAATGTTGGCCATGTACCAACTGACTTTAAGGGTTACTTAACTCTTTTGAGCCTCAGTTTCCACACCTGTAAAATGGGGATGATAATGTCTACCGCAGAGTTTTGCAGTGAAGTTGACATTAGTATCAGAGTGTTAAAAGCATGGCCTCTAGCACCAAACCACTAGAGTTCAAATCCCAGCTCTGTGACTTACTGGATTGGAGAGGTCACCTACCTAATCAATGTGCACATAAGCCTACCTGGTAGGTAAAACACAGTGACTTCCTTCAAACACTAAGAACCAGGATGGGGGACACACTAAGGGTTAAATAAGAAGAGCTATCATAAAACAAAGCACATCTCCTGGCAGAGCAGCTACTCAATAAATATTAGTTATTCACCTCTCCCTGCCCCCATCATAATGTAGTTCAATTCCACAAATAACCTAAGAAAAGTATAAATGCTATTCAGTACTCTCTGAATATTAAGACAGGGGATGTGTAATTGATTACGAAATACTTCCATTCAAAAGTATTAAAATTAAAGTTGTAATGTTTGAAAGTTAATTTAATTTCACAAATATTCACTTAACTAGAATAGTTAATTTCTTTACCATTCTGGATAATTTTAGCAGTATTATATTTACTCCCTATTTCACAAAGAAAACATTTTATAAGAATTTTAAATTTCTTCACTGAAAGAGGCTGCAGAATGAGTATCAACTTGAAAGTAAAATCTAAAGTCAGTAACTATGGAATATAGGATTCTTTTCACTTACTGATCTTTCTTCTTAATAAATGAAGGGCCAACAAAACATGTACTATCCTCATGTCAAGTATATTTCCTTGTTTCCCCTGTTTTCTTGTTTTTTTTCTTTCATATAGCAAAGGTATTATTATTATTATTATTATTATTAAAAGGGTCTCACTTCCGTTGCCCATGCTAGAGTGCAGTGATGCAATCTCGGCTCACTGCAGCCTTGACTTCTCAAAACTCAGGTGATCCTCCCACCACAGCCTCCCAAGTAGCTGGGGCTACAGATGTGTGCCACCGCGCCCGGCTAATCGCGCACACTCACACTTACTGCAGGCAAGAGTTTCGAAGCAGGGCAACACAAATCTCACATTCTCACACTTACTGGAGCTAAATAAGTTGGTCTCAGGGAGGTAGAGAGTAGAATGGTGGTTACCAGAGGCTGGGAAGGGAAGAGGAAAAGGAGGACAAAGAGAAATTGGGTTAATAAGAACAAAAATAGAGTTAGATAGAAGAAGTAAGTTCTAGTATTTGATAGTACAGTAGGAAAATTACAGTTAACAATAATTTATTCTATTTCCAAAACAGCAAGAAGAGAAGAATTATAATGTTCCCAACACAAAGATAAACATTTGAGGTGATGGATACCCCAATTACCCTGACTTGACCATTACACATTGTATGCAGTTATCAAAATAGCACATGGACCTCATACATATGTACAACCATGATATCTCGATTTTTTAATTACCAAAAAACAAAAAAGATTTTTGAAGGGGACAAGATGGGGGAAAAGACAAATTCTAGGCCCGCGCTAGACCAAACAGCAGCCACCAACTACATCTAGCGATTACGCATTTGAAATGTGATGACTACAAATGGACATGTGTTGCCAGTGTAAAATACACACTGACTTCAAAAGCTTAGTATGAAAAAGAAAATGCAAAATAGCTCATTAATAATTTTTAATATTGGTTACATGTTGAAATAACATTTTAGACACATTGGGTTAGATAAGATACGTTGTTAAAATTAATTTTACTTGTGTTAAATTATTAGGTTCGTGCAAAATTCAGGCTTTGCCATTAAAAGGGCAAAAACTGCAATTACTTTTGCACCAACCTACAAGTTTAGCCTAAAGCTGCCTCCTTACATGTTTTAAGCTTGACCTAGAGGTTTCTGCATATATAGTGAACTGCAGCCTAACTGGACGTTGTAACAGACATAACCTACTCATACCCCAGTCACAGCGTTTCGGCTAATCACAGCCAACGCTTCAAACCTAGTTCAAAGGAGGCCAACTTCGAGCTGTAACTAGGCCAGCTGCTTCTGCACCTCGCTTCCATTTCCCGCACGTCACTTTCCCTTTTCTTGGAGAAGTGAACTGATTCTCAGATGATTCTTTGCTCAATTAAATTCTGTTAAATTCCATTCGTCTAAAGTTCTTCTTTCAACAACCTGTTTCTTTTTTACTTAAAAAAAATGTGGCTAACAGAAAATGGAAAGTGATATACTATGCAAACTCTTTCTGCACAGGGCTTTTCTAGGGAAGAGCTTCCATCAGGAGTCAGACTGTGAGAAGAGAGCAGAGAAGGAGAAAGTGAGAACTACGCTGTGCTGCGTCAGCTACAGAAGCCTCCTTGTTCCTCTCTGAGACACTCCCAGCTACTCAGGAGGCGGAGGCAGGAGAATCACCTGAACCCAGGAGGCGGAGGTTGCAGTGAGCCGAGATGGCGCCACTGGACCCCAGCCTGGGCGACAGAGTGAGAGTCTTTCTCAAAAAAAAAGAAGTATTAAGCAAATGTAAGGTGTGGAAATGTGTGTCACAACCTCATCTACGGTACTTGAGTAACCCGAGTATAAAATGTCTACCTTGGGTACAGTATTGACAGGATACATGAAGAGCTGGTAACATTCACTGGAGGGTGGAGAATGCCTTGGAGAGAGCGGGTGGCAGGGGCAAAGGCTGGAGGAAGTCCTTTCACCATCTACCTTTTGATTCGTTTGTATTACAAACAAATGAATACATACATTTTAAATTAAGTACCTTAGTCCCAGCTACTAGGGAGGCTGGGGCAGGAGGACAGCTGGAGGCCACGGGTTCAAGGCTGCAGTGAGCTATTACATACTTGTAAATGGCTACTGCACTCCAGCCTGGGCAGCACAGCAAGATCCTGTCTCTAAAAACATTTTTAAATAAAACAACTTAGAACTTCATAAAATGAAAAATCTGGCTGGAGGATAAAAGGCTATAATTGTCTTAAACACGTAAGAGAAGCACAGTCTGACCCAGGGACAGGCAGCGAGGGGCAAGAAGAGCATACGAACCTAAGAGAGAGGTGGAAGGAGTCTTCAGATTTCATGAGGGAGAGGAAGGTCAGAAGAGTTAAGAATTTCTTATCAGTTGGTAATGAGTTACCAATATCAAGGACTGCATCAATCACTGAGCTCAGAAAACGGAAGGAGAAACAGGTCAGGCGCAGTGGCTCACATCTACAATCCCAGCACTCTGGGAGGCTGAGGGTGGGAGGATCACTTGAGGCCAGGATTTCGAGACCAGCCTGGGCAACACAGCAAGACCGCCATGTCTACAAAAAATTTTAAAAATTAGTTGAGTGTGGTGGCATGTGCCTGTAGTCCCAGCTACTCAGGAGACAGAGATGGGAGGATCGGTTGAGCCGAGGAGTTCAAGGCTGCAGTGGACTATGATCCTGCAATTGTACTCCAGCCCGGGTGACAGTGTGAGATCTGTCTCTAAAAGAAATACCAATACATGTGCAAAATAAATAAAAATAAAATTTTTAAAAGGAAGTAAAAAAGTTTGGGTGAAGGGAGATGAAGAGTTCAATCTGGGATGTGCTGAATTTCCAACATGCTTGTTCTTGCTGGTTATGCCATGAAAACCCTGGCCATCTGTCAGGGTTATGTCGCAGTGAGCAGCCTCGAGAGATGACGCAATGTCTCCCTCCAGGCCAAAGAGCAGGCTTGCTTCCTGCTTGCTATAAAAGCAGTAGATATCCCCTGTTCTGTTCCCTGTAATTCTCTGTTCTGAAAGCTCTGTTCCCTTTCTATAATGCCAACCATTGCCTGTGCAGGCATCCAGCTGGGCCCATCACCAGGAAAAGGTGAGGGCAGGAGAAACTGTCACCCACAAGCTGATGCTCATGTTGCCTGCTGTGCCAAGAGGAATGAAGTCCTTTGTCACTGACCCAGGAGTCTCAAGTCTTGTGCCAACATCCATGGAACAGTAACAAGCTAACTTACTAGCTTACAAGTGGGGTAAAATCAAACCACAGACTTGATACTCCTAAGAGTGTGAAGTGCAGGAGAAGGATCAGGCTGGAGACGTGGATCTGGTCATGAAGGCACAGGAGCAGAAGAATTCCTCTAAGTAGAATGTATTGGCTAGGAAAGACAAGGAAGAGGTCTGAGGAGTACCCACATTCAAGGAATGATCCAAGAAAGAGGAACCTGCATGAGAGACGGAGCAGAGGAGCCAGAGAGGGAAGTGAACATCCGGGAGAGGGCCATGGCACGGAGGCTAAGGAAAAAGAAAATGGAAAGTCATCCTTGGCTTTCCAATGCTGCTGAGAGGTCAAGGAAGGTAAATTCTGAGAAATATCCACTGGAGTTAGTAAAAAAGGAGATCAGCTATGATTTGACAAGGGCAGTCTCTGTTGAAGGTGGAGGAGAAATTAGATTGCAGTGGGTCAAGAAGTGAAGGGGAGAAGTCAGGCGTGGTGGCGGGTGCCTGCAGTCCCAGCTACTCAGGAGGCTGAGGTGCGAGGATTGCTCGAGCACCAGGGAAGTGGGTGCGAAGGTTGCAGTGAGCAGAGATCACAATGTGAACAGCCAGTGCGCTCAGCACTCCAGCCTGGGCAACATACACAGACCCCACATCAAAAAACAAACAAACAAAAATCCCAAAAACAAACAGAAGTAAAGGGGAGGGAAGGGGTGTCTGGAGAGGAGCATGGTGTTAAAGAGGATGTTTTTTCTTTTTTGATACTG